TCATGACTATTGTCCTCGGAGAATGAGGACTCACCACTGATTCTGCTGAACTGGAGATCGGGAACCGATCTAAGCGTGATCTAGATGCTGAGAACCTGAACCTACATCACGAGAAGATGTAGCGCATGTATGCGTCAGTACTTGAAGGGTACTGAGCATGCAGGATAGAGTAAAGCTGAAATAACACATAACTGAACAAAACAATAAGCAATGATATAATCTGGACATGATATAGATACTGAAAATACTGAATACTGAGCTAACTGATGCAATGACCAAATTTATAACATGCTGAGACTGAATACTGACTGTACTGAAATATGGTTAATGCAATAGAGTCTGACTGAACTGTGGGAGCTACTAATAATCGACATAAAACCACATGAGCTAAATGTGGAGTCCGATGTATACGCCCCATCGAGAGGACCCAATATACCCTGCCAGAGGTATAGAGGCATGCTAGCGTGATCACTAAACTGATGTTGCCCACAGAGGGGACTTACACCTACGTGGCTCGTAGTTCTGGGACTATATGGGTACGCTGAACCCTAGTCCAACTCGGTATTCTGCTACTCCCAATGAATTAAGTAGTTAACTGGTTATGACTGAATATTTGTATATACTGGATAGCTCGAAACTGAACATGCAAACTGAGAATGCAACAATTAATCTGATAATGATGCATTCATAAACTGAGGCATGTAAAAATCTGACCTAGCATGTGTAATTCAAGAACTAAAGAAATACATAGCTAGGGTTCTGAAATTCATGCGATAAACTGAGCAATAACATGATAATCTGATTTGGAACATTTAAATAACTAATTCATGATGATCTGTTGAAATTCTAGAAACCCTAGGTCAGTTCATAATCATGGAATCAAGAATCTGACTGAATTCTAGGGACCTAATGGGCGAAAGGAACCCACTAGTGAAATCCCACATACCTGGTGACGAATTCCACGGAGAAATCTTTCGATTTCGGGGCTGGAACTGAAGAAACCTCGCTGCGTTCTTGAACTAGGGTTCTTGACCTTTTTCTCCTCTCTTGCTTCTAATTTTCTAAGTTTAATTAATGATTTTGACTAAGGTAAGTTCTAGTTATGTTTCTAGGCATAAACTGACTAAAATCTCATGATTTAGGATCTAAACGACGTATCTTAGGGGTTAAACGAAAAAGAAAAAGACCAAAAGACCCCTGAATTAACTGTTGTCGAAGTGACTGACGGAATGGATTGACGGTCCGTCAATCAATCGACGGTCCGTCGATGGGGTCCGTAGGTCGAGTCTGCCCGACAGGGCTTCACTAAAATGAGCATAACTTTTTACTCGGAGGTCGGAATTTAGCAAACTCGGTGGTGTTGGAAATATAATTCAATTATCTATCTAACCATAGGTAATGGGACACATAATTCATTTTGTCCTAAGATTTATGACCATCTGAAGTTGATCCATCAATAATTTTCACCTAACTGGCTGTTGACCTTCATCTACGGTCAGACCTACGGACTGTGGATCGATTGACGGTCTGTGTTGGTCAACCGTAGTTTGTGTCAGAGGCTGGGTAGGAGAAGTCTCGATCCACGAACACAAACCACGGACCGTGGGTCTGTCCGTGAGTCGAGACTTAGCCAATTTTTTTCTGAGCAGGCTGGGGAGGGGTTGCAGTAGTGAACCACAGACCACCAGCACGGGCCGTGGTCTGACCTACGGTCCGTGGATGGTGATCATAAGTTGCACCTGCAACTTCTCAAAATCTGCATTTTTGTCTGTTTCGAATACGAGGTGTTACATTATCTCCCCCATGGGACCATTCATCCTCGAATGAAGACTAAACTAGCTGAAATGGAGGGAGAGGGCAGCAATCCCTACCACTGAACACTGAGAACTGAATTTCTGACTGAACTGAGTTCCATGAACATATAAATACGCTGAAAATGCAAGTACAACTGAAGGAACATGATTCTAAGACTAAATTTATGCATGGATGACTGAAAAACTGAAGAGGAACTATTACCTCAAGCTGGAATGGAATCGGAAGGAAAGAGGTGAGGATACTTGGACTTCATGGCTGCTTCTGCTTCCCAAGTAGCTCCCTCTACGGACTGACTCCTCCACAAAACCTTGACTGAAGCGACTTCTTTATTTCTCAACCTTCTAACCTGACGATCGAGAATCTCAACTGGTACATCCTCATAAGAAAGGCTATCTTTCACGGCCACACTCTCTAATGGCACTATGGATGCTGGATCACCCACACACTTCTTCAAAAGAGAAATGTGAAAGACTGGATGCACTGCTGCTAAGTCTGCTGGCAACTCTAACTCATAAGCCACTTTACCAATCCTTTTCAAGATCCGTTAAGGGCCTACATATCTGGGATTGAGCTTCCCTTTCTTGCCAAATCTCATTACCCCTTTCATAGGTGACACTTTCAAGAAAACCCAATCATCAACTTGGAACTCTAGTTCCCTTCTTCTCACATCTGCATAAGACTTCTGGCGACTCTAAGCAGTCTTGAGTCTATTTCTAATGAGTTGCACTTTCTCCATAGCATCAAGGACTGAATCTCGTCCTATCAAGGCTGCTTCACCTACTTCAAACCAACCAACTGGAGATCTACATCTACACCCATACAATGCCTCATAAGGGGCCATCTGAATGCTGGAATGGTAACTATTGTTGTAGGCGAACTCAGTCAGAGGAAGGTGATCATCCCAACTACCCTTGAAGTCGATCACACAAGCTCTCAACATGTCCTCTAAGGTCTGAATGGTACGCTCTGCCTGACCATCTGTCTGCGGATGAAATGTTGTGCTAAGATTAACCTGAGTACCAAGACCTTTCTGAAATGACTTCCAGAAATGAGATGTAAACTGAGGACCTCTATCTGAGATGATAGACAAAGGAACTCCATGCAACCTCACAATCTCATTAATGTAAAGCTTGGCGTAATCCTCCGCCGAATCTGTAGTCTTGACCGCCAAAAAGCGAGAAGACTTAGTAACCCTATCAACAATCACCCAAATAGAGTCATGTTGCCTGCGAGTACGAGGTAAACCTGTGATAAAGTCCATGTTGATCACTTCCCACTTCCAAGTAGGAATGTCAATCTCTTGAGTCATACCTCCTGGTTTCTGATGTTCTACCTTGACTTGTTGGCAATTGGGGCACTTAGCCACAAAGTCTGCTATATCTCTTTTCATACCATTCCACCAATAGACTTCCCGCATATCACGGTACATCTTAGTGGCGCCTGGATGAATAGAATATCTGGAATTGTGGGCTTCTGTGAGAATATGTTGTCTCAATTCACCCACACCAGGAACACACAATCTGCCTTGATAGCGAAGTACACCATCTCCCCCTTGGGAGAAAACCCCCACTCTCTAATTGTGGACTGCACCCTTAAGTTCAAGCAAGATTGGATCACTATCTTGCTTTTCCTTAACCTATACTACCAAAGAAGATTCTGCCCCATTCTGAACCGTTACACCACCATCTGATATGCTTATAAGACGAACTCCTAGGCGAGCAAGTCTATGAACATCCTTTGCTAGCTCTCTTCTTTCTTCCTCAACATGTGCTACACTACTCATAGATAGTCTGCTAAGGGCATCTGCTACTACATTTGCCTTACCCGGATGGTAATGCACACTCATATCATAATCTTTGAGGAACTCAAGCCACCTTCTCTGGCGAAGATTCAACTATTTCTGGGTGAATACATACTGAAGGCTCTTATGGTCTGTGAACACATCTACATGAACACCATACAAGTAGTGTCTCCAAATCTTGAGTGCAAACACCACTGCTACAAGCTCGAGGTCATGAGTTGGATAATTCTTCTCATGTACCTTAAGTTGTCTAGAAGCATAAGCTATAACCTTACCTCGCTGCATCAACACACAACCTAGGCCGACTCTGGATGCATCACAATAGATCACATAACCATCTGAACCCTCTGGTAGAGTCAAGACAGGAGTTGTAGTCAACCTAGTTTTCAGTTCTGCAAAGCTTTTCTCACAATCATCTGACCAATGGAACTTAACCTTTTTATGAGTTAACTTAGTCAATGGAGAGGCTATGGATGAAAATCCTTCCACAAATCGTCTGTAATAGCCCGCTAGACCTAAGAAACTTCTGATATCTGTAGCAGAGGTAGGTCTGGGCCATTGTTTCACTGCTTCTATCTTCTGGGAATCTACTCAAATTCCTTCACTAGACACAATATGCCCAAGGAAGGCAACTGATCGTAACCAAAACTCACACTTGTTAAACTTTGCAAATAACTGGTGATCTTTAAGAGTTTACAGAACAACTCTCAAATGACTTGCATGTTCTTCCTCATTCCTAGAGTAAATGAGGATATCATCAATAAAGACGATAACGAACAAGTCCAAGTACTGCTTGAACACTCTGTTCATCAAATCCATGAAAGCTGCAGGAGCATTGGTTAGTCCAAATGACATGACTACAAATTCATAATGACCATATCGAGTTCTGAAGGCTGTCTTTGGAATGTCACTATCTCTGACTCTAAGCTGATGATAACCTGATCTAAGGTCTATCTTTGAGAAATGACTAGCACCCTGAAGTTGGTCGAACAAGTCATCAATCCTGGGGATAGGATACTTATTCTTGATTGTGACTTTGTTCAACTGCCTATAGTCAATACACATTCTGAGAGAACCATCTTTCTTCTTCACGAACAACACTGGTGCACCCCATGGCGAAATACTAGGTCTGATGAAGCCCTTATCTAGAACGTCTTTCAACTGCTCTTTCAATTCCTTAAGCTCAGCTGGAGCCATTCTATAAGGAGGGATAGAGATAGGCTGGGTATCTGGAATGAGATCTATTCCAAAGTCGATTTCCCTTTCGGGAGGAACTCCGGGAAGATCTTCTGGAAACTCACTGACTATAGGAACTGACTCAAGAGTTGGGGATTCGGAACTAAAATCCTTAACCCTAACTAGATGATAGAGATAACCCTTAGAGATCATCTTTCTGGCCTTAAGGTAAGAAATGAATCGACCCATAGGCGCTAAGCTACTACCCTTCCATTCTAGGATTGGTTCGTCTGGAAACTGAAAATGAACAATCCTAGTTCTACAATCAACTGAGGCATAACATGAATGTAACCAATCCATGCCTAGAATGACATCGAAGTCTACCATTTCTAACTCTACAAGATCTGCTGAGGTGACTTTCTGAGAGACTGTGACAGGGTAATTTATGTATACCCGTCTAGCTATAACTGGGTCACCGACTGGAGTAGAGACTGAGAAAGGTTCTGAGAGAATTTCTGGGCTAACATTGAATTGGACTTCTATGTATGGAGTTACAAAAGAAAGACTAGCCCCTGGATCTAATAAAGCATAAACATCAAGATCAAAGACTCGTAACGTACCAGTGACTACATCAGGAGAACCTTCCTGATCGTGACGAGCCTGAAGAGTATATAGCCTGTTTTGGCGTTGTCTGCCACCAGTACCAGAAGAGTTACCCTGCTGAGTCAGGCAACCTGCTGGTGCTGCTGAAGTTGTAGACTGAGCTCTACCATTATTTCCTCCTTGATCATGTCTATAAGGACAATCCTTCAATCTATGACCAGACTGACCACACCCAAAACATCCTTCCTTACCTGCAAGGCACTCGCCCGGATGGTTCTTACTACACTGCGAGCAAGTTGGCTAGGTTTTGGTGCCTGAAACACTACCTTAAGACTTAGAGCCTGACGCCCTACCTTTCTGATCATTACGGAACCTGGGGGATGGAACACTAGCTGATGAAAGGGCTGGAGTCGAAGACTTCTGCTGAAACTGCGAGCGATTTCCACCACCCGATTTCTGTTGGGAATACTCGTAGTTACCTGTTCTTGCTTTCTTAGCCTCCTTAGCTTGTTCCCTAAGCTTATCACCCTCAACCTGCTGAGCATGAGTTATGAGCCTAGAGATGTTCATGTCTCCCAACAACATAGCATTCCTGCACTCTGTTTTCACTAAGTCTGACACTCCATACATAAACTTATTCATCTGTGCCCTGGAATCAACAACCATGTGAGGAGCATACCTGGAGAGTTGGTTAAACTTGAGCCCATACTCTTGGACAGTCATGTTACCCTGCCTTAAGTTCATAAATTCCTGGGCCCTTGCTTCTCTCAACTCTATAGGGAAAAACCTGTCCAAAAAGGTTTCGCTGAAACAATCTCAAGAAATAGGAGCATCATCTGTACCCCTGTTCTCCTTCCACTGAGTGTACCAGATATGAGCCACATCTTTCAGCTGGTAAGATGCCAACTCAACCCGATCATTCCCAGTGACCTGCATCACTTCAAAGATCTTCTTGATCTCATCTAAGAAATTCTGGGGATCTTCACCAATCTGCAATCCTAAGAACTCAGGCGGATTCATCCTAACAAAGTCACGGACCCTTGCTGCTGTTAATCCACCATTTGCATTCACATGAGCTTGAACCCATTGATTGTTCTGGTTAGCGACACTCTGAGCCAACATTTGAATGGCATTCCTGAATTCAGCATTTGAGACTTCCTAATCAGGAACTGAAGGAGCTGCGTTTGCATTCTTGGCATTCGCATTCCTAACGTAGGCTCTACGAGGAGGCATGATCACTGAAATGTAGAACGTCGAGTTAGAAAGGAATTTAGATCATACCTTACGCACGATAAGAGTAACAAGAAAATGAAGATTTCCTAAACACTTTGTAGCCTCCCCCTCATTAGATGTGGTGCGCACTACACATCCATGAAAAGGACTCTACATAATGCGGCTTTTCAGACATCCTAGGACACTTAAACCTAATGCTCTGATACCAAGTTTGCCACGCCCCGAGCTACCCCCGAGACGCGGACACGAGACCTAGAACCACGAGTGATCCCAAGCTAACCCTACTGGCATGATTATGAGCATATTAAAGATAATAAACTATTGTGGAAGCTAATACTTAATTAAATCTAAAAAGATGGGGAATACCCATATACTATAACTGAATATATCAAATCTGAGAGTTTAATACAAAAGAAATATCAAACTCAAATACTAAGCTGAATCTAACTATGTCTGAAAATAGCCTCTAACTGACTAGAAATGTTGGGACAAGCCCCAGCTAAGTCTAGCAAAACTGAAACTAAAGGACTAAAATACTGAAAAGAAACTCATGACTATTTTCCTCAGAGAATGAGGACTCACCATTGATTCTGCTGAACTGGAGATCGGGAACCGATCTAAGCGTGATCTGGATGCTGAAAACCTGAACCTACATCACGAGAAGATGTAGCGCACGTATGCGTCAGTACCTGAAGGGTACTGAGCATGCATGATAGAGTAAAGCTGAAATAACATATAACTGAACAAAGCAATAAGCAATGATATAATCTGGACATGATATAGATACTGAAAATACTGAATACTGAGCTAACTGATGCAATGACCAAATTTATAACATGTTGAGACTCAGTACTGACTGTACTGAAATATGGTCAATGCAATAGAGTCTGACTGAACTGTGGGAACTACTAATAACCGACATAAAACCACATGAGCTAAATGTGGAGTCCGATGTATACGCCCCATCGAGAGGACCCAATATACCCTGCCAGAGGTATAGAGGCATGCTAGCGTGATCACTAAACTGATGTTGCCCACAGAAGGGACTTACACCTACGTGGCTCGTAGTTCTAGGACTATATAGGTACGCTGAACCCTAGTCCAACTCGGTATTGTGCTACTCCCAATGAATTAAGTAGTTAACTGGTTATGACTGAATTTCTGTAAATACTGGATAGCTCAAAACTGAACATGCAAACTGAGAATGCAACAATTAATCTGATAATAATGCATTCATAAACTGAGGCATGTAAAACTGAATACTGAAATATCTGACCTAGCATGTGTAATTCAAGAACTAAAGAAATACATAGCTAGGGTTCTGAAATTCATGCGATAAACTGAGCAATAACATGATAATCTGATTTGGAACATTTAAATAACTAATTCATGATGATCTGTTGAAATTCTAGAAACCCTAGGTCAGTTCATAATCATGGAATCAAGAATCTGACTGAATTCTAGGGACCTAATGACGAATTCCACAGAGAAATCTTTCGATTTCGGGGCTGGAACTGAAGAAACCTCGTTGCGTTCTTGAACTAGGGTTCTTAACCTTTTTCTCCTCTCTTGCTTCTAATTTTCTAAGTTTGATTAATGATTTTGACCAAGGTAAGTTCTAGTTATGTTTCTAGGCTTAAACTGATTAAAATCTCATGATTTAGGATCTAAATGACGTATCTTAGGGGTTAAAGGAAAAAGGAAAAGACCAAAAGACCCCTGAATTAACTGCTGTCAGAGTGACTGACGGAATGGACTGACGGTCCGTCAATCAATCGACGGTCCGTCGATGGGGTCCGTAGGTCGAGTCTGCCCAACAGGGCTTCACTAAAATAAGCATAGCTTTTTACTCGGAGGTCGGAATTTACCAAACTTGGTGGCGTTGGAAAAATAATTCAATTATCTATCAAACCATAGGTCATGGGACACATAATTCATTTTTTCCTAAGATTTATGACCATCTGAAGTTGACCCATTAATAATTTTCACCTAACTGGCTGTTGACCTTCATCTACGGTCAGACCTACGGACCGTGGATCGATTGACGGTCCGTGCTGGTCGACCGTAGTTTGTGTCAGAGGCTGGGTAGGGGATGTCTCGATCCACGAACACAGACCACGGACCGTGGTCTGATCTACGGACCGTGGGTCTGTCCGTGAGTCGAGACTTAGCCAATTTTTTTCTGAGCTGGCTGGGGAGGGGTTGCAGTGGTGAACCACGGACCACCAGCACGGGCCGTGATCTGACCTACGGTCCGTGGATGGTGATCGTAAGTTGCACCTACAACTTCTCAAAATCTGCATTTTTGTCTGTTTCGAATACGGGGTGTTACATGCTTGATGACTATTTGTTAAAGCATTTGGGCCTTAGTTTAGGTTTGACTAGGGCTTGCCTTAGAGATACATGATTCAGATCCGATATGCCTTAGTTTTGCCCCGACGCCGCTCGGCCGGCTTAGATCCCTGTAGACTGGTGTAGCAGACTTGAACCTGATAGTTTGGGCCTTAGCTAGGTGATACGTTTGCTCCGATAATAGTTATCCTTATTTCCCCGATGTTACAGCTTCAAGAGTTACGTCGGCGACACTAGTTCTACTTCGCGATTTGAATTTGATTTTCGATTCGGTTCCAAGGACTTACATTGATTGGCTAGGTGTGGACGGCGATCCACGGATATTTATGAGAATAGATCGATTGGGACTCTTTCAGCAGCTACGTTGGGACCTTTATAGAGCATCCGGTTAGAGTTCCGGCCTCTATTGCCCAGATACTTATATAGAGCATCCGGTTAGATTTCCGGCCTCTATTGCCCAGATACTTATATAGAGCATCCGGTTAGAGTTCCAGCCTCTATTGCCCAAATACTTATATAGAGCATCCGGTTAGAGTTCCGGCCTCTATTGCCCAAATACTTATATAGAGCATCCGGTTAGAGTTTCGGCCTCAAATACTTGATACTTGTGATTGGTTACTTGGGTACTTCTGGTGAGCATCCAGTTCAAGGTCCGGCCTTCGTACTGTCAGATTTTACTAATTGGGATTGAGGTTCTGTTTCGTGTTCTCCGTTCTTGGGTTCTCATATGCAATTCTCTTTAGTTATAGTTATTCTGTGTACTCGTCGAGCTTATGGGGGTCCGTTCGGGTTTTTATTTAACTTGCGCACGAGTGTACCTTCTGGGCTTATGGGGGTCCAGTTAGGTGTAGTTAGTTTATAGATTGCTTCAGTTAGTTCTTTCTACACTCGTGTGCATTCCATTGTTAGTTAGATTTTCGTTCTTGACTTCGATTTGTATTATTCCTTCTTTTCATACTGCCTTTACTTTTCAAGTTCAGCCGGCCTATGATGACTACTAGGTACCTGTTGTTTTGGTACTCATGCTACGCTCTGCATCT